TGCCAATATGTCCTGTTTTGTTCTGCAGTGGCGTTTTTTGTGAAGTTTGGTTTCAACAGGAGACTAATTCACAAGCCCCATATTCTTGATAAGATGCCCTGTCTTATTTTGTAGTGGTATTTTTGTGAAGTTTGGTTTGGGCAGGAAAATAACTCATGTAATTCATGTCAAATTATATTTCTTTATACAACTTAAAAGTGGCACTTTTGCATTCTTGTGAATATGAAGCCTAGTCACTACTTATGTTTTTTTTTTTAATTGTGTGCTCATGTTAATACTTTTAGGAATATGCTTAGTAATTGTATATATGGTTTCTGTGGAGTTGATGTTTGTAAAAGGTAGTCTTTAAAGCATGGATGGTTTTATACATACATATTATCCTGCTAAAGAAAAATTCTAGGTTTGTTTGCTGTCTTAATTTTGGCAGTATTCCTTAATGTCAAGACATTTTGTGTAAGTTTCTCTTAGCTATATTATATAAGTATAGATATTAGGTGATATTAGGTGATTAACCATATTAGCCAATGTAAGCATTTTTAGGCACTATAGACCCTCCCCTCATACTACCTAGTGTGCTGTTGTTGAGTGTAATTTCTTTGATCAATTAAGAGTAGTGTTTGATTTTATAATATTTTATCTTTAAATTGATTGCATGTTTGATGTGTACTTTTGTGTGATAGAAAAAGCAAAAATAAAGTTACTGTTTGAAGAATTAAAAACAGCTTGCTTGTGTGAATATGTTAGCTAGAAAGTAAGGAAAGGGGAAAGTGTTGCTGGCATCAGGACAGTAACAATCAGTAATAGTAATGCTAACAAAACATCTAGAAATGCACAGGACAGTCAGCAGTGACAATGAATTATATAGCAAAACTGTCTTTTGTGTCACTATTAACTGTGCTCTGGAGAAAGTGAAAGTGGTGAGAAGTATTTCAGATGTATACTTATAAACAAAGCATTAATGAGCAAGGGGTTGTTTAGATGAACAAAGTGTGTCTGTTTCACACACTTCACTTCTCACCTAGCCATCATTGGCAAACTCAGAATTTAGAGGGATAACAGTACCAACTGCAAGCCTGAAAGACAATCAGAAAGCATCCATAAGGTCAGGAAATCAGTGCTGTTGTGTGACCCCACATCTGTTCACTTGTCCATGCCTGTTTGTTTCTGTTACTACCAACAGGGCAGAGGAAGAGCAGTATTATGCATTGGGTTTTTTAGAGGAAATTATAGTGCATGAAATCAAAAGGGGTTTCCTTGCTTTTGATTATTCTATTTGTTTTTTAGACAAGATCTTATTCTATAGCCCAGCCTGCCTTGAAATTCACAATGTAGTTCATGCTGGCCTGTAACTTGCAGCGACTCTGCCTCAGCTTCCCAAGAGTTGAGATTATAGGCATGACTCACCATGTTTAGATTGATTTATCTTCGTTTTTAATATTGTGTTTATTTAGTGAAGTTAGGGGAGACGTAGGTGTGGTCATGTGCATGCTGTGGCATACTTTCGAAGATCAGAGACAACTTAAAGGAATCTGTTCTTTTCTGCCATCTGGGATCTGGGAATGGAATCTGGTCATCAGGCTTGGCAATAAGAACCCTTAGTAATTTAGTAATATCATTGGCCTTTGTTTTTAAATTTTTTTTTTAAATGAAGCTTTGAAAATGTTATAAGAAAGCATGAGTATATTGTTAGAAAGTGGGAAAGATTTATTACAACATGGCCAATTGACCATATTGGGGTTTGTGTTTGTTTGGGCTTTTGTTGTTGCTGCGGATTATTGGCCTAGGTTGGTCTCACTTCTGATCCTCCCTACTCTGTGGACTTCCAAGATATTCATAGCCTTCCCTGATTCAGTTTCCCACTGTTGTACCAAAAAATAATTTCATCACGTTAAAAAATAATTTACACTTAAAATAGGATGAGATAAAATTACCCCCTTTTTATAGATGTTTGGTGGATCTCTGTGAATTCGAGGCCAGCCTGGCCTACATAGCAAGTTCCAGGACAGGCTTCAAAGCTGCACAGAGCAACCCTGTCTCAAAAATAATTCCTCTTAATTGTACAAGTAGGGAGACAGACGAGACGCATGGTTTGTTGGGTTTTCATACTTCAGAGGCTGGACTCGCGATTTGGTCTCTTGGTTATTTTTCTGCAGATAGATCTTTAGTTTCTTGGTAAGCCACTTCAGCTGGTTTGCCCTTTGCTCCCCTCTTCCCTTGTGTTTGCATTTTTGCCTAATGAACCATCATTACCCTCCATTCTTTGAAGCCTATTTTGGCTTCCAGCTGACCTTGGCAGGAGCAATTGCCTGACTCCTAGTGGAGTAACACTTGGACTCTTTACCTCAGCTGCAGGCCCGCCTTCCTGAGGCACCGCCTTCCTGGGGGCCCGCCTTCCTGAGGTACCAACTTCCTGGGGGCCCGCCTTCCTGAGGCACTGCCTTCCTGAGAGCCCGCCTTCCTGAAGCACCGCCTCCCTAGGGCCCGCCTTCCTGGGGGCCTGCCTTCCTGAGGCACTGCCTTCCTGGGAGCCCGCCTTCCTGAGGCACCACCTTCCAGGAGGCCTGCCTTCCTGAGGCACTGCCTTCCTGGGAGCCCGCCTTCCTGAAGCACCGCCTTCCTGAGGCACCGCCTTCCTGGGCACCACCTTCCTGGGGGCCCGCCTTCCTGAAGCACCGCCTCCCTAGGGCCCGCCTTCCTGTGGGCCCGCCTTTCTGAGGCACCACCTTCCTGGGGCCCCCCTTCCTGAGGCACCGCCTTCCGGAGGGCCCACCTTCCTGAGGCACTGCCTTCCTGGGGCCCACCTTCCTAGGGCCCGCCTTCCTGGGGCTGTCTCCATACTGCTCTTGCACATGATATACAAACAGTAAAAGCAAGCTGTTTATCACAACGCTGTTAAAGCAGGTTAAGTGATCTTAATAGGGAACTTGATATGTAAATAGGTAGGTTTATGGGTTGGAGAAATGTCTGAGCCCTTAAAGCCATGTTCTTTTCTAGATAACTTGACTTCAGTTCCCAGCATCCATATAGTGCAGTTTGCAACCTCCTTTGGCTCCAGCTTCAACTGATACCATATATCTGGCTTCTACAAGTTCATACATAATAATTATAAGATTTGGGAGGAAGGGATTGAGACACAGTTTCTCTGAGTAACAGTCCTAGGCTGCCCCGGAACTTGCTCTGTAGACCAGGCTGGTCTCAAACTCACAGAGACCCATCTGCCTCTGCCTCCTGAGTGCTGAGATTAAAGTCATACACGACTACCCGCCCAGCTAATTAAAAGATTTTTTCTCTTTTTTATTAAATTAGAAACAATCTTGTTTTCTATGTCAATCCCAGCTCCCTCTCCCTCCCCATAATTAAAAGATTCTTTTTTTGTTGTTTTTTCGAGACAGGGTTTCTCTGTGTAGCTTTGAAGCCTATCCTGACACTCGCCCTGGAGACCAAGCTGGCCTCAAACTCAGAGATCCACCTGCCTCTGCCTCCCCAGTGCTAGGATTAAAGGCATGCGCCACCAATGCCCAGCCAAAATTACTAGAAGGAAGGACCTCAAACATAACAACCACTCCTACTGGGAGTTGAATTCAAACCCACGTGGGCACTCACCTTTTGGATCTTAAGTCCAGCGCCTTAACCACTTGGCCATCCCAGTTCTGCGACTTAAAAGATTTCTAATGATAAGTTTATAATAATTTCATTTGTACCAGATCTAGGACATAGGATCAAGGAGACTTTGATATTTTTCCATATTTGCTAACTATATTTGATAAATAATTTTATACTGAGGCATTGACACAACTTGGTGGATAAAGGCATTTGCTGCCAAGTCTGATGACCTAATTTCAGTCACCAGGCCCCTCATGGGAGAAGACAAAAACCTTCTCTGACAAGTTGTACTTTGACGCCCATGTGTATGTATACTGTAGCATACATGAGCATGCACATGCACTAAAATAATATATTTAAATGTTTTATGTAGATACGTTTTCAAAATGCTTAAAATTTTTTGTGAGTGTGTGTGTGTGTGTGTGTGTGTGTGTGTGTGTGTGTTGTATGCAGTATATGCACAGGTGTACTTACCCAAGCATGCACTTGTGGAGGCCAGAGACTGAGGTCCACACCTTTCTTCCCCCCTCCATTTGGTGAGATGGTGTCTCTCACTGAACCTAGAGCTCAAGGTTTTAGACTGGCTAGCCAGTGAGCCCCCAGGATCTGCTTGTCTTCACCCCCAGTGCTAAAATTACAGATGGGTACCTCTGTGCTTGGCTCTTATGTGGATTCTAGGGATCTCAGTTCAGATTCTTACACTTGCCCAGCAAGTGTTTTAGCTACTGAACCATTTCCCCAGCCCTAAGAATTTTGCTTTCTAATTTTACCTTGACTTTCATTTGTATATACTTGAGGTTTCTATCAAAGAACATGAGCATGTTTAAATTAAGGATTTGTATATATACTTAAGGATATGTGTATATTCTATAATGAAGGTATAGTTATAAAGTGTTGCTTCGATTTTTCTGCTCTTTCTGCTCTCTTTCTGGCTCTTCTCGCTCTCTGCTCTCTGCTCTTTCTGCTCTTTTCCAACTGTCTCCCCGCTGTTCCCCTGGGGCAGTCAGGACTTTTCCTGTCTCACTCTTCTCTTCTGTCCTCTCTCTGTCTGTGTCTCTTTCCCTCTTTTCTCTTTCCTTCCCTCTCCCTCCGCTTTCTAATAAAACTTCTCACTTAAAAAAAGAAAGGGTTGCTTCTATTTATATTAAACCATAATCACATATAGTCTTCATAATTACAATATTATGTACATTTCAGATTTTAGTATCTGAAATGAAGGCAGACTTAGTGAGCATCTGTCTGCTGCAACAGTAAGTAGATTCCTCTGCCTCACAGCTCCTGTTCTATTTATAATCTTACTGGAATGCCATTTGTTATGAAGTTCAGCAAACTATGTTATTCTTTTTGTTATATTATTCTTGCTACTGTTGAACTTACTACTTTTATTCTCTTTTCAGGTATATGGCATAATTTTGTCCTTGCTCTCCTTGGAATTTTAGCTCTTGTTCTCCTCCCAGTAATTCTCTTGCCATTTTACTACACTGGAGTTGGGGTACTTATCACGGAAGTCGCAGAGGTAAATAATGGATCACTTAGGGTGCTCTCTCACCAGATCCTCTGTGGAAATTCTTAAAATTCCTTTAAATGCAAACATAATGTTGGGAAATACATCGGATTTTTTTAAATGTCATAAAAATTGTTTTTTGTTCCGAGCTAAAGGGGTCATAAAGATTTTGTGTATGTGGCTTATTGATAAAATGCTTTATCTTTATTGTTTATTTTTGTATTTTGAATTTGTGAAAACTTCGTAATCTTGGGGAACTGGGGAATGAAATTAAAATTGTTTGACTATGAATTTTGGATTTAGAGATGGATTATTTTATGCATTATTCCAAATATTCTACTTTGAAGAAAACTAAGCTGAATGCAAAGGAATGGGAGACTGGAGAGGGGCTTTACAGGGAGTTGGGGGAGGGCTGGAGAAGTTAAAAATACACTGTGAAATTCCCAAAGAACTAAGAAAAATGTTTAAAAGTATTCTCCTTCTAATTAGTGCAGTGTCTATTACTATGGCTAGTTGAGATTGATTATAGTAGCTTGCTATTATACATTGATTTGATTTCCCTTCTTCCCAAGGACTCACCTGCCATTGGACCCAGAGGCCTTTTTGTGGGAGACCTTGTCACTCATCTTCAGGATTGCCCTGTTACTAACGTGCAAGATTGGAATGAATGTTTAGATACCATTGCATATGAGCCCCAAATTGGTTACTGTATAAGTGCATCAACGTTACAACAATTAAGCTTCCCAGTTAGAGGTGTGTGCATTTTCTCAATATAACATGTTTCAAGTACCAGTCCCTTCCGTTACTAACCTTGAGACTATCTATTGATTTATTTTGATCAATTGTTTTAAAGCACATAATTAAAATAAATAGGCCCAAACTAATAGATATTCTTCTTGGTATGTTGGGTATTTGTTTCCAAAATTATTGTTGAACTTCTAATTTCTTTTATAATATTGTTTTACTTTTAGAACTCAAAACACTTTTGTTCAGGCTGAGTGTATAACTCGAGTTTGTATAATGTGTGCAAGGACCCCAGTTACATCTCTAGTACCACAAAAATAATAATTTAAAAAAATTTTAAAGATTTTAAAAATGTGTAAAATCATCTGGATGTGGTGGTGTACACCTTTAATCCTAGTACTTTGTAGACAGAGGCAAGAAGATCTCTGAATTCAAGGCCAGCCTGGTCTACCGAGTGAGTTCCAAGATAGCTAGGGCTACATAGAGAAACCCTGTCTCGGAAAAAAATGTGTAAAATCAGCATCCATTTTCAACAGTGTGTACTCTGGGTATGTAGCTCAGTAGTAGAGTGTTTGCCTGCCTTTGCATGAGAACCAAGGTTCAAACCCCACTATAACCAACACCAAAACCAAAAATCAAAACAACCATCAACTATAATTAACCAACCACATTTTAGTAAATAATCCACTGTAGTATGATATTTCCACATGTGTAGACACATAAATGTATCTAAATTTATGTCTAATTTTTAAGCATTTTTTAAAACTTCGAGATTATAATATACTTACATTTCTCCCTTCCCTTTACTCTCTCAAAACCCTCCCATATACCCTTCCTCACTCTCCTTCAAATTCATGGCCTCTTATCAATAATTGTTATTGAATACATAGATGTGTGTATATATATGTATATATATGTATATACATATATATATATATATATATATATATATTCTTAAATATAACCTGTTCAATCAATATAATGTTACTTGTATGTTTTTAGTGCTGACCATTCAGCACTGGACAATCAGTTGATGTGTTCTTCCTAGGGGAGATCATCTCGCCTACTCCTAGCTATGTCTAATATTTTAAACGTAACAAGAAGCAATTCTTGGCAGAAGCATTTGTTTTCCTTTGGTGCTGAATGAACACTGAGTTAAACTTGTATATATGCTATTGTATGAACAGATAAAGAACTAATAGCTAACAACCAAAGAAATAAGATCAGCGCATAAGCATTCTATAATAATACACAGATATGCAATACCCTCTGCACATGTAAAAGAATCCCTTCGTAGCTGGGTGGTGGCACACGGCTTTAATCCCAGCCTAGGACAGGCAGAGACAGGTGGATCTCTTAAAAAAAAATCCCTTCCTTTTTGTCACCAAAATATACCTAAACAGAAGCAGTTCTAGTAGCCATGTGTGATGCTAATGTGTCAAAACCTATCTGGGATAATGTTTTTGTTTTTTTTCCGAGACAGGGTTTCTGTGTCTAGCTTTGGAGACTGTTCTGGCATTGGCTCTGGAGACCAGGCTGGCGTCAAACTCACAGAGATCCGCCTGCCTCTGCCTCCCGAGTGCTGGGATTAAAGGCGTGCGCCACCAATGCCCAGCTGGGATAATGTTCTTTAGTGTGTTTTGTATAGCAGAAATCCAGGGAAGGTTGTCTTGACTTCCAAAGAAACCTGGGAAGTAGTTTTGTTGGCCTGTGGAGCAGTGAGAAGGCTGAAGCAACTTTCTTCTGAGAACCTGCTAAACTTATTTAACTCCGAAAGGTCACCTCCCAATTTTTTTTCAGATTTAATATTCCATATATTCATGAGCTTTTTATTATAAAACATTTCCTTATTTCTACACTTATGTTTTGTGTACATGTATGTATGTGGGGGTTGTAATTGTGTGGAAATCAGAGGACAGCTTGGTGAAGTTGTTTCCTCTCCTTCCACTTTTCTGTGGGTTCTAGGGATGGAACTCAGGTCACCAGCTTTCGTAGCTGGGTGACAAGCACTTTGATTCACTGAGCTTTTTATAATCAGCACCTTCCCTATTTTTTAATACTTAGGTTGTTTTTAATGTTATGATGTTCTTATGCCTTCTAAATCTCATTAATTTATCACAATACCAGTTGTTTTTGAAATGTGTTTATTGAAACAGGGTCACTTATTTTCTCAAACTTTGCCTAGTCTGTCTTTTTCGAATTTAGAGGCTTATTTGATTTGGGACTCCTTCCCTCACACCTCCCTCGGCTTCTCCTTCTCTTCCCTTTTCCCTGTTTGTCTGTCTCTGGCTCTATGTCTCTCACTCTCTTCCCCTCCCTCCCTTTAAAGTATTTCATAGGTAATGCTTGGTACTTTTTGTATGCTATTGTGAGATGTCCAGATGTCTGGCATTCTCTTGTTCACTAATATTAAGGTTTTTTTTTTAAGTGACCAATCTGATTCTTTAAGGTTGAAACATTTTTCAGAGTCCCTTACTCACAAAAGTTCCTTTTTAGAAGTAAGTAGATAGGCCTTTCTTCACTATATACTTCAGAAAGAGCATGGAGTTACTATCACAGAACCTAAAGCTCACTTTAGCTTTAGGACAACTAGCCTGGGGTAAGTGAAGGTTTGCTTGTTTGTTTATTTTTTGGATAGGGTCTCATGTAATCCAAATTGGTCTTAAACTCAATACTTAGTTGAAGATGTTCTCAGTTGAAGGTCCTTCTGCCTTCACCTCCTATATGCTGGGATTATGTGTGGGCCACCTTGCCTGGTTTATAGGATGGCAGAGATCAAACCCAGGGTTCCACATGTGCTAGACAAACACTGTTCCACCTGAGCTATATTAATGCCAAGCCTCTGAGTGTGGCTTCTCATTTCAAATTGGATCTTTTTAATATTATAAAATCAAACTATAGCCAGTAGCTGTCAAGCTAGATACTGCATTATCAGTTGCTTCCAGATTTATATGCCATTCTACTTATGTTTTTCTCTTTAAAAGCAGAATTTTTAACAAATACACTTCTGTGTAAATGGATTCTTATAAGTACTGTGTTTATTTTTTTTAGCATACAAACGACTAGATGGTTCTACTGAATGCTGTAACAATCACAGCCTCACAGATGTGTGTTTCTCCTACAGAAATAATTTTAATAAGCGTTTGGTAAGTTGTCCCCAAGGCAGTCTTACTTGTCTGATATAATTACTAAAATAAACAGATAAAGCTAAAACAAAAGCTATAAAACTGTCTCTCTTTATTCTATTTACTTTGTGTCATTTAATAAGACCTCCATGTTTCAGATGTCACATTTTATCTGAGAATCTAAAAATCTATAGTGATATAATATCCACTTTGCAAAATTGGAATATTGATGTTTAATTTATAGTAGGTGAACATTAATAGCATTCCTTTTATATGAAGGACATTCCTAATCTGCTGGGTGACAAGAAAAACATGAAGGAATGCAACCTAGATTTTTCTTGTTAATAAATATTTTTTAATATTGACTAATATTGTCTTTTTAGCATACGTGTCTACCTGCCCGGAAAGCAGTTGAAGCTACTCAAGTTTGTAGAACCAATAAAGATTGCAAAACCAGCTCAAGTTCAAGTTTCTGTATAGTACCATCGTTGGAAACTCATACTCGATTAATAAAAGTGAAACATCCACCTCAAATTGATATGCTGTATGTAGGGCACCCACTACATCTTCACTACACAGGTAGGTATTATTGGAGTCGACTCTTAAAAATAATTAAGGTCATATATATATACTCACTTTCAAGAGCTCGATACAAATCCTCGTGGTGATTCCATTTATTATAAATTTGATCACTTATCAATCAAAATTTTATTAACTTATTCTCAAGCATTAAGTAGAGTTAAAGTAGAAGAAAAATACTTAGCCTGTAGAGAATGACACTTCTTTTTTCTTCCCTATAATTTTTGTCCAAGTCAGATAGATAATCTCAGATGTTTTCCATGAGTTCATAAAATGTATCCATACTCCCCAAAACAGTGGCAAAAGCTACATGCTCTTGTGATTACCAGACTACTTAAAACTGCGTGACACATGAATGCTTTTGTCTTTTGAGACAAGGTCTCATATAGCCAAGACTGTCCTCAAACTTCCTATATAACTGAGGACAATGTTGACTTCCTGATCTTCCTCCTTTCCCTTCCTGAGTGCTGGGGTTATAGGGAGTACACCACCACACCCTGTTGTATATGGCCCTGGGGATAAAACTCAGGGCTTCATACATACTAGGCAAGGACTTTACCACCTGAGCTTTATCCCCATGAACATAATTTTATCATAATCATTTCACAATGACAAGTTGATTGTAATAAATATATAATTTCTCTACATGACTGAATATTATATAGTACAACTTATTATACAGGCTTTCATGTGTTACTTCAAAAATAGATTGCTATACAATTTACCTACTTAAAGTATATAATTTGGTAGTTTTTAATATATCCTCAACATCACCAATATACTTTCTGTTTCTATAAATGTGCCTGTTATGTAAGTTTCATATCAACTGAATATTTTACAACTAGCTTATTTCATGTAGCATAATGTTTTCAAGGTTTATCCTTCCTGACCGTATTTCCTTTATTCATTTATCAGTAAGTGGATATTTGCATTTTATGCCATTCTTTAAAAGACTTTCCTTTGTGTTTTTTATGTTTTTGTTTTTAGTGACTTTCTCTGTAGCCCTGGCTGGCCTGAAACTTGCTACATATACCAGGCACAACTTAAATTCATGGAGATCTGTCTGTCACTGCCTCCTAAATGCGTGCACCACCACACATAACACTGCTTCATAGTTTTTGTTCTTTTTGTTTTTTGAGACTGGGTTTCTCTGTGTAGCCCTGGCTGTTCTGGAACTCACTCTTTTTACCAGGCTGACCTCAGATTTACAGAGATTTGCCTGCCTCTGCCTCCCAAGGGCTGGGATTAAAGTTATGCAACACCCACCCAGTACAGTTTGCCTTATAGTTATATAGTGATAGACAACCTGCATCATTTTCCTTGTTTATTGGTTTGATATGAAGTGATTCCAGGCAGCTATTGAGTATACTCTTAATAAATGAAGAAATGGTTCTAGTTGGAGTTAATTTAGAAATGTGGAGTGTGAGTTTTGCCTAATGACGGGATACATTTTAGATGCTTTGGACCAAAACAGGGTTATGGAATTCACAGAGTATGGGGACTTTAAAGATCCCCTTGTGTTAATCTTCATCTTAGCAATAAAAAATCGATAGGAAATAGCATAATAGTTGGAACAAATGCAATTTTTAGAATACACTTCTTTGAAAGGGTGAGGATGCTTTATATATAACTTATATTTTCAAGTCTCATTTTATATTTGGTAGTCATAATTGGTATGTAGTCTGCTTTATCTTAGCTGTAACCTCACAAAATAAGTATAAATTGGGACATGGGATTTTCATTCCACTATACTTAATAGATGTTTATTAACTGCTTTCTCTTCCTCCTTCCCTCCCTCTTTTTTCCTTTCTGTTGTGTTGTTTTGAGACAAGGTCTTACTGTATAGCCCTGACTGGCCTGGCACTTGCTATATAGACCAGGCTAGACTCACAAAGATCCTCCTGCCTCTGTTTCCCAAGTAATGGAATTAAAGGCCTGGCCCTGATTTCCTTATATATAAGGTATAGAGCTTGCTCACACATGTGTAGGAAAGGTTTACTCATCCATTTTAATACATTAATGCAATTTTGACTATACAGTAAATTTATAGTGTTGCTGCTTCTCTGCTGTGGATAATATTTATTATTCCTTGTTTTTCATTTTTAGTGAGCATCACAAGTTTTATTCCACGTTTCAACTTTCTAAGCATAGATCTGCCAGTTATTGTGGAGACATTTGTCAAGTATCCTTTCTGGTTTGAAAAATAATTTAAAGTTGTTGTGTTGTTTGTAGCTTCATCATTTTTACCTTGAATAGAACATTACAAATAGAGGCCTTATTGTTTAATTGCTTACAACTGACAGAAAGACTTTAAAGATGAAAGATATTAGGTTTTACATATGAGGGAAATGTTAGTGAAGACAACTCCATCAGCTATGGAGAAAGGTTAAAATAAAGACAGGAGAATTGTGGGAAGAGCAGCAGACAGGTATCACAGCTGCTTGGCTCCGGAGAAGGAAGTGCCTGAAGCTCCAAGAGAGGGCAGGCTCTCCTCACAGGAACTTCCGGTCTCCACTGCTCTAGCCTCAGTTTTCCTCAGAGTTTCAAGGATCGCTCTTCCACTAAGACACCTCAGGTATATCTGTGTACCATGTGCATGTAGTGCCCACGGAGGCGTCAGACATGAGTTGAATGTGGTTGTGAACTGCCTTGTGGGTACTAGGAATCTAATCTAGGTCCTCTTCAAGAGCAAGCACTGCTCTGCTGAGCCATCTCTCTAGTCCCACAAAGGCATACAGTTTTACAGAAATAAAATGGAGATATATAAATATGCCTATAAAAAAGGTACAATAATGAAGGAACCCATAGTACAACTCGAGAGTTCCGGGCGGTGGTGGCGCATGCCTTTTATACCAGCATTCAGGAGGCAAAGGCAGGTGAATCTTTGTGAATTGGAGGTCAACCTGATTTACTACAGAGTGAGTTCCAGGACAGCCAGCGCTAGACTGTGAGATCCTGTCTTGAAAAAAAGTTGAGGGGCTGGAGAGATGGCTCAGCAGTTAAAGAGCACTGACTGCTAACCCAGAAGATCCAGGTTCCATTTCCAGCACCCACATAGTAGCTTACCACCATCTATAATTCCAATTCCAGGGAACCCAAACACCTGTTTTGACCTCCATGGCCTTCTGTATGCATGTGGTACAGGCACACATAAAATTTCAAACGATTGAAATAATTTGGGGACTGGTGTGTTGGTGCATGCTTGTTATCCTAACACTTAAGAGGCTGAGACTAGAGCATCACCAGCCTGTACAGCAAGACCCAGTCTGAAGATTTAAAAAAATAATAATGTGGGGGCTGGCATTTTAGTTCAGTAGTATAACATTGTCTAGTATGCACAAGACCCTAAGATTGCAGCAATTTTTTCCTTTCTTTTTCTTTTTCTTTTTCTTTTCTTTTTTTTTTTTTTGAGACAGGGTTTCTCTGTGTAGCTTTGGAGCCTATCCTGGCACTCGATCTGGAGACCAGGCTGGCCTCGAACTCACAGAGATCTGCCAGCCTCTGCCTCCAGAGTGCTAGGATTAAAGGCGTGCGCCACCAACTCCCGGCTTCCTTTATTTCTTGCACTTCTCTCCCTTTATTGTATCATTAAAGAATTTCGGAAGCTTAATCTTCTTAGGAATGCATTGTAGATTGTTTAGTTTGCCTTTGTGTTTTCTATTGAAAGTTTTTGAACTTCAAAGAAATAGTAACTTACTTGTTTTAAATAGAACTACAAGAAAGAATGTTAGGGACATAAAGAAGAGAAGCCTACTGTAATCTCACCTCCCAGTCCAGTGTCCTCTGGCTTTTCTAAAGATGATTTCCACTTGCACCTCATAGCTAGCTCCTTAACTAATCTTTACCCAGGTATCTGATTTCTCTTTCCGGAGCTCTGGCTATCGTTAATGCAGTGCCCTGCTTTGCCCTGGATGGTCAATGGATTTTAAACTCTTTCCTGGATGCTACCCTTACCTCAGTGATTGGAGACAATGATGTCAAAGATCTGATAGGATTTTTCATCTTGCTTGGTGGCAGTGTACTTTTGGCTGCCAATGTGACACTGGGACTCTGGATGGTTACAGCACGGTAATATTTGTTCTCATCCAACAGAAAATATGGAGTACAACTATGTGGGAGTATCATTTGCTGTTGAAATTCCTACTAGGTATGAAGTGTAAAGTGTTTCCTTAAAACACCTTGGCCAACACCTTTGAGCTCCTCCTATCTCTAGAGCATCCAAACTCTATGGTGGAGAAGTAGTGGAAGAAATGCAAAGCATAATTCCTGACTACATGCTAGTTTTAAAGATTGAATGTGCAAATTTTGAATGTTTGTGGAACAATTGGTAAACAAGTGAAAATTGACTCATGTAATACCATTTTGTGTGACTATATAGCATTTTAGAATAGTAAAAGGGAAAGCAGAATCTGGTGGTGACATTGTGTGTGTGTGTGTGTGTGTGTGTGTGTGTGTGTGTGTGTGTGTGTTACTAGAGTTTGAAACCAGGGTCTCGCTTATGCTACTTATGCTAAGCAAGCTTTCTACACCTAAGTTATATCTTCTGTCCCTGGTAAAATTTAGTGAAAAGTGCCATTAAGATGATGTAGTGGTGCACACCTATAATTCCAGCACTTGCCTATGTGTTTGGAAGGCTAGGCAAAAGGAGCATGAATTCAGGGTCATCCATCTTTAGCTATATAGTGGGTTATGGGCCAGCACTGGCTACATAGCAAGACCCTGTCTCAAACACACACACACACACACACACACACACACACAATTAAAGATTTAGGGATACTGGATTGTTATTAAATGGAAGATTGAGCAAGTGTTCTTAGTTTTATAATGCTTGTCTTTATCTTATTTGGCAATATTTTAAAGCTTAATGGTATATTATACTATACTCTGAATATCAAGGTCTGATTACAATTAAACCAGTAAAGTTCTATGAAAGTATCTGCTAACATGAAAGCAAAAACTTTGTGCCATTGATACCAAGTAAATGGACAAAGTTGAAAGTAAATAAGGCCTGTGATGTGATAAAACAGTTTTGGTGCTCAAGTATTCCCTTTTTCGTAGTGTATCTCTGCACCCTTACAACACACTAGCCTTGTTCTATAGAGTATGCTGCAGGAAGGACCTCTGACAGCAGCATGTGAGCTCAGGCAGTTAGAGGTGAATTTGAGAACTAAGCTGAATCCTCTAACAGATCACAAACCAACAGACACTGCAGCAAATCTAGTAAGCACTTTCTAGAGGTTTGCAGCTTGAAACTTTTCCAGGGTAGACCTTTTCCTTTATGCTGCAACAGCACTCAACCCTGAGCCATACTCTGTCCTCACCAGCATCTAGTATGTTTCTATCTGTCGGGGGATCAAACACCGAATCTTTGTTTTCCGTCTCCCCCTAAGCTACCTCTGTGAGCACACAAAGACTTAGTCAGATAGTGAGAATGGCTGCACAGATGTGGATTTCCCAGAATCTAGGAACAGACTCTTGAGCCCTAAAGAACCATTGTTGGTCTTGTGGGTAGCAATGGAACCCCTGGGAAATCAGAGTCAGCTGTCCAGTGTGAAGCTGTTAGTCTTAGAGATATATGCACATACTGTTTCTTTCATGAAAAATACACATTTGATGAAACACACACACACATTAGAAGTAGCAAAAGGCACTGGTTCATTCATTAATAGCCAGATATATACCTCCTTCCTGAAGTAAGGCACTTCATGAGGTTACCTTTTTTAGAACATTAACTATCTTAAGCGCCTAAAACTTTTAAATCAATTTTTAGAAAATTTAGACTTTATTACAAATTTGCCTTCATTCTCTGACAAGAATCATACACTGAATATCATTTTGAGACTTTATTAATGATGGGCTGTTAGTTGCTAAGAGTACTAAAGGCATACGAATTTAGTACTTTTAATTTCTATCCCAGAAAATATGACATTTGTTGTCTTCTGTGGTCACTCAGGACCAAAATGTATTTGCATACTAAAAATGCACAGACCTTTTCAGGTAGAGTTTTGAAAATGCCGTGAAATATTCACATAATTAACTTGATCACATGCATTAAGCAGTTTATTAATGAAAATGTATGTGTGTAAATCATTTTTTTTTCAATACTGAGGAAAACAATTATTGTTTGGTGTGGTACTTATAGAACCAGCATAAATAGCCTCACACATGCTAGCAAGCACTCTACCACTAAGCTACCCCATAGGCCATGAAAAGATTTCATAAGAGGAAATTCTATCCACTAACTTCATTTTCTGAGTGAAAGCAACAACAAAACAAAACCTCACTTCATATTAGCTGCTAAACACCTCTGTCAGCTAATCTGTAGGGTCAGGGTGTGGGAACTTCTCTCCTCCTGGAATTCCAGAAGATTTGTGTACAAATGGCTTCATTGATTAAGAAAGGAGATGTTACATATTGTCTATTCGGCTTCACTGTGGGCTCTTCTACTGTGAGTGTGTCATTCATACTCAGCTTTGTCTCCCTGCACAGTGCATGAAATATTAGAAGTGGTTAACGTGCTTGAATGGATGATGATTAGTGTTTATTTATGGGTAGGAAAGCATGCTTCTATTTAAGTAAGCTGTAAAAAGGATTGTTGAATATTTACTGTACATATATGTTAACATAAAAAAACACTTGGAAGGTCTCTATGTCCCTGGTGTATTATCATCTTTATGGAAAAAAATATATTTTGATTTCTGTAGAGCAATTAGAAAAATGAATTATATTGGAAAAAATGATTTATGTTGGTGATTTGAAGTATCTTTGTGTTGTCACCTTGTTCAACAGTAAATTTTTATTCTCAGTGTTCCTATTTTGCATTGTTTACATTTTAAGGTTTTTATTTTAATCATCTGTAATTGTAAAGAATGTATATATTATTTTCAGCATCTCAGTTTGAAGAGACATACAGTTAAACTTGACTTTTTTGATAATCATGTCTAGGTCATTGTGCTAACAGGAAATTGTAAACATATGCTTCATAGTGATGTGGCTCTCTGTAATCATTGTGTCCTTGGTATTTGAGCATCCACATACTAGTAGCACACAGATAATTTTTTTCAGTAACTCTTGAGTGACCTGTAATTCCTTTTTAGGCTTTAACTTGATGGTATAATTGTCAGAAATTGATGTGTAGCAATAAAAGAACACATGTAAACCAGCATTTCATGTTTATCATCTGTGTCTTGTCATTTTTTTTATTGCCAGGAAGCAATTTTTTTAGTGTACTTTTTTTGTATCGGAATGTCCCCCTTGTCAGGCAGTGGTGTCTCACGCCTTTAGTCCCAGCACTTGGGAGGCACAGGCAGTCGGATCTCTGTGAGTTCAAGACCAGCCTGGTCTACAAGAGCTAGTTCCAGGACAGTCTCCAAAGCCACAGAGAAGCCCTGCCTCAAACCAACCCCCGCCCCCCCCAAAAAAATGCTCCCCTTACATAAAGTAAGATCTTAGTTGTTCTTAAATTCTTGATTCTAAAAGTGGCCTTCCATTTCCATGTATATAATTTGTATATGACAGTTACTTCTGGCCTCAGGAAGACATTTTTTAAGTAAGGTGCCCAAATGCTTTGAAAATGTTTACTTTAAGGAAAGAGGACAGCCACATTTCATTAGTAGTGTCTCTGTGTGTGTGTGTGTGTGTGTGTGTGTGTGTGTGTGTGTGTGTGTGTGCGCGCGCGCGCGCGCGCGCGCGCGCGCTAATATTATTATATTAATACATTTGCATTGTCTTCTTACTAAAGTATGCATGTGTAGGGAGGCAGCATGTACATGTAGGGACAAGAGGAGGACCATCAGATGTCCTTCTGTATGACTCTTTACCTTATTCCATGGAGACAAAGTCTCTCACTAAATCTGGAGTTAGGCTGACAGTCAGCAAGCCCCAGAGATCCTCCTGTCTGCACCCCCAACAGCACTTGGCAACACCCACCATTCAGCGTGGGAGCCAGGGTCTGAACTTAGATTCTTCTGCTTGCAAAGAAAGCACTCTAATCCACAGAGTTATCTCTCCTGCCCATTGTTAGTGTTTGGCAGAATTCTTCTCCAAGTTTCTATGTGCTTTTAGGAATTCTTGAGAGAAAGCACTTGCAAAGTGGAGACAGGAGAATCAGGAATTAGCCTGAGCCACCTGAGAACCCATCTGAAAAAAGAAAGATGGGAAAGAAAGCAAAGAAAGAAAAAAAAAAACATTTCAACTAAAGTATGTAATAATAGTCAGCTTGCTCTTTTTCATCATTCGGGATTCATTTTATTTGTGGGGATGGGGAGCTAGATATCCAACCCAAGGCCGTCATACATATTTAATCAAGTGTTGCATATTTAAGCAAGTACTCTAGTTCTGAGCTCCATCCCTCATCCACCTCACCTACCTGGACCTACATTTTTACAGAGGGCTTGCAGTTTGGTCTTGAACTCACAGAGATCTGCCTGCCTCGACCTAGCATGTGCTGAGATTAAAGGTATGTAGCAGCAACGTTTTTTTCTAGGTCTCTAACTTTCCAACCTTATTCATAGTATTCCTTTCTTACCTTTCAACCACTTTGTTTAGTAAATTTAGTGGATCTTTTAGGTTTGATGTGTCACCAGATAGTTACAATGCAGATAACACTGTGCAATTTACAGACTAGGCACTGATCCAGTACAGGCCACAAGGTTAGTAATCAGGAGTTTGTCTGCAAACTGTAGAATTAGAAGAAAATAGAACAATGCAATTTGGGGGACAAATTACTTTATTTTATAATGGGGAAAATATTTTCATACTGAAAATAGAAATACAGCTTCATTATAGAAAACAGGTTAATGAAATAGAGAAGTTTGAAAAGTATATACATAAACTACTAAGCTGTGATTTCAAGTTGGCAGTGTATTAACAAGTATTTTCTCATGTTATTAATATTCTAATGTTATGTCAGTGGCTATGCTAATACTAGTGTGTTAAATATTGCATAAAATACCTATTTCCAATTTTGTACTTTTATAAGTATCTTAGTTTGGGTTACTATTGCTATTGATGAAACACTATGACCAAAAGCAAGTTAGGAGGAAAGGGTTTATTTGGCTTACACTTCAATATCACTGTTCATCATTGAAGGAAGTCAGAAGGACTCAAACAGGGCAGGAACCTGGAGGCAAGAGCTGATGAAGAGGCCACAGAGGGGTACCGCTTATTGACTTGCTTCACTGGCTTGCTCAGAACCCAGGCCCACTACCCCAGGGATGGCACCACCCATTAAGGGTTGGTCCCTTCCCCATCAATCATTAAGAAACTACCTTACAGGTTTGCCTACAGCCCTATCTTATGGAGCCATTTGCTTAAATGAGGTACCCTCTTCTCAAGAGATTACCCATTATCAAGGTGACATAAAGTTAGCCAGCACAATAAGGCATTAAGAAAATACTTGAAATAATTGTTTATATCTATGATTATATAAGATTTTGAAACTCGGGAAAATTTTAGATGAAACATTGGATGTCTTGAAGTCTGAGCAGAGTTCTATGTATACACATTGTTTTGTTGAATTTTTTTTGTTAGACAGATATGCAAAAAATCTCTAATTTGTTTTTTATTAGAAAAAAATCAATATTTTAAAATGTGTTTATCTGTCAGTGTACTTTGTTTAACCATATCCTTTCCTTGTTTTCTTTGAAGGTTTGAAGGGATGCCTTGGTACTGTCCTGAAATTTTTCTTTAAAATATTTTTATGCGAAATGATTTTTGACAAAGAGCCAGCTTTGTTGGGCACAGAAGCTCATATCTGTAATCTCAGCGGGTGAGGAGCTGAAGCAGGAGAATCCTCTAAATTTCAAGGCCAATTCTGGGCTACAGAGTGAGAGCCTGTTTCAAAACACTAAATTCATTAACTTATAAACAGCTTCTGAAAAACTACACTAATGATCATCTCTACTTTTTTATTTTTTGTTTCCAGTATCAACATTTCTTTTTTTCCGTGTGTGTACATGTTCTCTCTGTGTGTGTTGTATATATGCACACATTGTGTGAATGCACAAGTCCATGTACATGCAGGGTCCAGAGGAGGATATTGACTTTCCTGCCTGATCATTTTCTTTGTTATTCCCTTGAAAAGGGGGTCTCTCACTACATCTGAAGCTAGGTTGAATTCCAGAAAGCCCCAGCAATTCTCCGATCTCTATCCCAGTCAGCATGGGAATTGAACTCAGGACCTCTGGAAGAGCAGCCAGTACTCTTAACCTCTGAGCCATCTCTCCAGCCCTGGACTGTGTTTCTTAAATCTCAAAACAGAAAATATACAAATGATGTAGTTGCACTGAATTTACAGCACTCTTGTAACCTTCTAATATTATATTGTAGTTTTTGTTTGGTTGTATTTTGCTTTGATTTGGTTCTATTTTGTTTGGAGACTGTCTCCTATGTAGCCCAGTTTGGCTAGACTTAAGGTAGTCCTGCCTCAGCCTCCCAGCCACTGGGATTACAGGTATGTGCAACCAATCTGATTTATAGTTATTTTTTTAAAACTGGAAAACAGTCTGTCAAAATGTGGATTGGCACATAGGAAAAGCAATCTTCTCTCTCTCTTCTCTTCTACAGTATGTGCTTCCTGTGACAGAAATTTAAAATGCCAGCTATTCTCTCTCCCTTCAACCCTGTAGCCCTGCAGTAGGATTAGTCACGTAGCCAAAATTGCCAAGTAAGCTCTTTGGCAGCATTCTCCCCAGAGGCTTCTAAAATGATTTTCTGTCTTGATAAAAACAAGACATGTTCAGGGAAGGGCTGGGGAGATGGCCCAGCAGATGAAGTGTGTGCCATGCAAACAGAAGACTCTGGGTCTGAATCCCCAGCACACATGTAAAGTTGGGTCCATGCAGTACAATTCACCAGTACTCCCAGTGCTCTTACAGCTAGACAGGAAGAAGAGACATGAAAAGTCCCTAGATTCTTTGACCAGATAGCCTGGAATATGTAGTAGCTAACAACTGTCTCTAATAAAGTGGAAGGTGAGAACTCTCAGTAGTATTGTCCTCTGACCCTTATACTTGTACTATATTGCATGTACTCACACACATGAATACACACACACACACACACACACACACACACACACACACACACACACACACACACACACACGGGGTAGGAAGAATGAGGGCAGGAGGGAAGGAAGGAGGGAGGGAGGGAGTTGTGCAAAGCAAGCCTTGTATCAACTGAGCCACATCCCTAGTCCTCATCTTTTCATGGGCATTTCATATAATTGAAACTACAGGAGGAATATTGCGTCCACCAGGCAATAGACAAAAACAATTGTTTCAGATGATTACGTGTAGGGATGCAAAGAACCTGGGTGGCTGATGACACTGTTTAGCCTAGAATGATGGACTTGTACTATGGGACAACTGAACTTCTTGTTGAATGTACCCTTTTTAGTTGGATATTGTTATTTCACAGGTGAAAGCATCTTAGTTGAACAACTGGAATAAAGGAGGAAAGGTTTCACACCAAGCTCTTACTACTCTACTTCAAGTATTGGTAGCGTGTGTTTTTAACATAAGTGTATAAGAAAACCCTGTAGTGAAAGGAGGAGTGGACCTGGTTAGACCTTTAAGTCTCGGGTCCGGCAGAGTCAATGAATTGTTATCATGGTAGGAAGAAAGGTATGGAGCAAGAGTGAAAATAAAGGGGCTGCAGTGATGGTTCAGTGGTTTAGAGCACTTGTTATACTTGCAGAGGACCTAGGTCCAATTCCTATCACCCATATGGAGTCTCACAGCCATCCATAGCTCCAGTTTCAGGGGATCTGACATCCTCTTCTGACTTCCATGGGCACCAGGCATTCACGTGGTAAGCATGCATATATGTAAGCAAAACATTCATACACGTAAGTAAATCTTTTAAGAGGTAAAAATATACGTATTAAGAATTCCTTTGAAGCCAGGCAGTGGTGGTGCACACCTTTAATCTGAGCACTGAGGAGGCAGAGGTAGGCAGAGAGATCTGTGAGTTGGAGGCCATCCTAGTCTATAGAGTGTGTTTCAGGACAGCCAGCCAGGGATACCCTGTCTCAAAAACAAGCAAAAAAAAAAAAAAGAAAAGAAAAGAAAAGAAAAGAAAAGAAAAGAAAAGAAAAGAAAAGAAAAACAAAAAAGTTTTTTTGGGAGCAAGATATGATGGCACATGCCTTTATCCTGTCACTCAGGTGGTAG